CTAGGCCCCTTGCAAAATCGTCCGTTACGATGATCAACACAAGGTGAGTTGACCGTCCAGAGTTCACATTAGACGAGCGAATCGTGGGACGACTTGTCCGTCCAGACGATTTGTCCGTCTTCTATTTTTTGAAGGTGAAAATAGCCAATTAAATTACTAAGATTTCTCGATTTCTTTCGTGAGGGGCGTATTTGATCGTCAGAAAACACATTTCTTTAGCAAATGAGGGTCGCGAGATGCATTTTTCTAGTCTTCTTTTAATCAGAGAAGGTCGCGGCACTGCTGCTTTCAACGTATCAGGAACAGCATAATTCAATAACAACAGGAAAAGTTGTTTAGACCGGGTGGTCACTCAGTTCAGTGACCATAACTTGATGGTGAGGCAATTGGAACGCCTTGGGAAACAGACCAGACCCCGCCTATTCCCGTTGAGGGCGTCAAAGAAAAATTTCTTTCAAGAGAATGGGAAGAGTTTAATCGTAGCACAGATCAAATTGGAAACCAAGTCAAGTTCGATCACGGGTCAAGAAAAATTTATCTTGTGACTCGAACTTGACTCGTGCTACGATTAAACTGGGAAGCGACTCTAAACAAATTAGCTTTGATTATATCGACCAAAATCTTGAAGTGCGGTGATCTCCAATGAGAGCACATTATATACATAGGTCGAGTTGAGACTGCAGAACGTTTATTATTTTACTGAGGGTTCTACAACTTTCAGTGTCTGGAACACATCCGGAAGTTCAAGAACGATCAAGGTCAATGGCAAATAAGCTTACTTTTCGAAATTCTTAATTTATTTAAGAGATAGTAAAGGCTCTATTTGTGTATTCAGTTTGTTTTTGTGTATGTGTTGATCATTTTAATCTACTGAGTGTTTCATTTACAGACGTGCTTTCACGCAGCTCTCCGTCTCTCCTGAAGCGTTCCTTACTCTCAGGTCGCATTTTGCGAGCAGTCATGCGTGTTTGTGCATATGTCAGTACATTTTGGGTATTGGGGATCGCCATTTGTCAAACTTCATGGTTGACATGGAAACTGGAGGAATGATTGGCATTGACTTTGGCCACGCCTTTGGATCTGCTACGCAGGTATGACCATGGATTTGTTGCCTGTTGCTGTTGTTTTTAAAAGCATTACTGAAGTATTCATTTAAGAACCAGGGAGTTGAAGATCACGAGTAACCATGCTAGTTATTTGTTTGTTCAGTCGGTCGTTCACCGTTCTGTTAAAATGTTTGGTTTTTAACTTGGGTGCTGTTATTATTACTTTTAGTGTTCAAAGGCTATTCGACGAAGATTGCTTGTTATTTTCTCTGTCTGCTCAGTTGAAAGATGATTTGTTGGTTCACTGCCTGATTATTATACATTTATTTGCAGTTCCTTCCCGTGCCAGAACTCATGCCTTTCAGATTGACTCGACAGTTTTTGAATCTTATGTTGCCACTGAAAGAGAGTGGTACTCTAAAGAACGTCATGGTACATACACTGAGGGCTCTCAGAAATAACCACGAATTGCTCCTTAACACAATGGACGTGTTCATTAAAGAGCCTTCTCTGGATTGGCAGGTCTCTATCGATAAACTCCTAGTTATTTTAGTCTACCACTTCCCTGTAAGAAGCGTAAAAGATTTGTAGTCTTCAACTTCTAACTGAATGCAAACAGTGAAGCAATGCCTTTAAATTTCTTATAAAGTTTGTTATGTAGCTTGTTTAAAACATAGTCCTTGTCTTTTCTAAGGAGATGTCGTGCATTTGTGGGAATTAATTGGACTATTGTCTTTACTGATGGACAGTTTGTGATCAGTAGAAGTGCAGCTGCTATTCACACAATTTTCATCGTGTTATTCAAAATGTTTGGAATCGAAGAAAGGTGGCATTTACAAATGTTCTTCAAATTTCTCCCAAGGATATAGTTGTACGGAATAAGCCTGGAAATTTTGATCACCTGACTCGATGTGTTCTTGCTCTGTTTTAGGTGTTTGCTCGTAAACAAGCCAAGGCTCAAGGAATTAGCACAGGTTCGTGTTTCAGTCATTTTGACTTACATTTTGTTGTCAAAACCAACAGCGTACGGCTGTTCTCTACCCTCTGGTGCGAATCTAAAGAAAAATAAACAAATATCTTGTTTTATGATATGTTTTTAGGCGAAGCCGACGCAGCGTGGTATCCCAAGCAGAAAGTACAAAGTGCTAGAAAGAAACTGGAGGGATTTAACCCGGCGTATGTTATGAGGTTAGTTCAAATTATAGCCGTACTTCTTTCATTTCTGAATTTGATCAATTAGACAAAATTTCATTGCGCGCTGTATCGGCTCACCATATAAGGATAAATAATATAACTGAGCCAGACATCTTCTCGGAGATATTGAAGTGTTACCAGACGTTTTAGTCTTTATCGTGCCTGCTACGTCTTTCAACTCTCTTCTCTTTTAACTTCTGACGAGTTATCTGAAAAGTCGGATTTCTGTACTCGGAGGGGGCTGGGGAGGGTTGAGTTAACACGTTAAAACTGCTTTCAATTAAATTTAACTTACACTGAAAATTTTTAAAACGATCCTTGAAGAAAATGCTGTCATTACATGAGCAGGGGACAAAATTTGCTTTTAATAATTTTAGAGACGATCTGCAATTGGGTCACAAGAACCACCCTTGGTATAAGCAAATGGAGTCTGTATGTCTTGGAGATGAAACTGTTAACGTGCGAGCCCGTGAACCTGAAAGTGGTTTGTCAGTGGAGTCTGAAGTGGCCTGTTTAATGGATCATGCCATGGATCCTAATGTTCTTGGGCGAACCTATCAAGGCTGGGAACCATGGATGTGAGGCGGACAGTGTAGTATTGAACTGAACTGAGCTCAAGGGAATATGAATAAATTTGAGATCTCTGAGTTATAGTTACGCATACCATTTTATGGTAGAAGTTTACATTGTTAACAACTAATCATAATATAATCCCAGTGTATGGGAAATTTTGATTAATCAAAAAAGATTCTGTTTCTTTGTGACCTTAAATCTAAAACGTTTGTTTAAGTAAACAAGCGCATCACACATTGTGTTTACCTCTTGGGACTATTAAATTGAAAAACGCATTTACGCCAGGTTTCTTCCTGAGATTCTTACCACCAATCAATACAACTTGTAGTCCAGTCCCTGAACTCTACCTTTCCCGCGCTGTATTGAATTAAATCCAGGTGGGAAAACGGAAAGCCCAGGATAACTAGAATTCGCATATNCCCCCCAAAAAAAAAAAAAAAACCTCATGGAAAGACCCATATTTGGACGCGATTTTCTTAATAATGGCGTGCCTTTCGGAAAAGTGCACATAATATTGCGATAAAAATTATTTTGAAAGAAGTGGAGTTGGAGTTAAAAACAGTGTGTTCTCGCCTTTCCCCAAAAACTGAACGGCTCGAAGCTAATTACGTTGTCGTGGCTTGCAAGACGTATTTGTGTATGCAGCGAGTGGATTTGGGAAATGACTGTTATACTACAATTCCCGAATTCCGAATTTGTGCGATTACCTTTACCGGTCTGAAACTGACGCTTCTGTGTCAGGGCTTCAGCTACAGGCGTTATCATCGTTGTCACTCCTTAATTGAAAACTCTTATGAAAGATAAATGCGCCCTTTGCACGGCCCCGTCACATGGTACAAAACCAGTCATGCTGGGACGCATGTTGCACAGCTAAGAACTTGTGATGCCATAGAAGATAACTAAATAAGACACTTCTCCAAATTTTAGGCCTGTGTGTTTCCCCAAACTTCAGATATTCGTCGAAATGTCTTGCAGAAATTTACAGAGCCCAGTATGAAAACGCAATGTTGGTGTACCTTCGTGGTACACCAATATGGCGGCCGGAGAATAGTGTAACCATCTGGAACTTACTTTGGCTATCTAGGCAACTGATTATCAGTTCTGAACAAACAAGCATTTACATAAGCACTTTTCCTAGTGCTCTAACTTCTAAAAAAGCTGAAAATTATGAGATAAGTATATATTATCGTCGCACCTTCATAATCCTGAAATTCAAAATGCTCTGCTTTCCAAACGAAGCACGCTGTTGTGCTGTAAAATTGTAAACAGATATAAATATAACACCTCTTATGCCTGACGAGGGTAAAAACTTTGGTGGCTCTAGTTTTGAATTTTAGAAAGTGATGACGTCACGTGAAAATGGTTTATAGTTGTAATTTGCAAGCATGCAAATTATCTTGTAAGGCGGAATATATCTGCATCACATGACTGACTGACGCATCCTAAATAAACTATTCACAATGAATGTCTCTTGTTAGTGGGGTCAGAATAACCCATGTTGAAAATGTGACACGTCATTTTTTGTTCGTGTATTCAAATGTAAATTTACCTCATAAACTTGGAAAATCCAAGTCGTAGGTATGGATGGGAGATTCATTCGATCCTTCCTTCGCTCACTCCCGCGCTTCTTCGCTTCCCGCAAGACTTTTTGTGAATCCGTTGACCAACCTAAAAGGCTTTCGCAGTAGTAGCGAAGTTCAAGTTATATTGATCTGTTGATCTCCATTTTACATGACGCCCAAGTAATATATCAAACACGAAAAACCGTGTTTGACTACATTTCCAAACACCGAGAAGAGAGTTGAAAATACGACGCGCAGCGGAGTATTTTTGACGAACTTCGAGGTGTTTGGACATGTGGTCAAACATTGTCTTGAGTGTTTGATATACCGTCTCAATGGAAACTAAAACTACGGAGAAAAACGGAGAATTAAAATCGTAAGAATCTATGCTAATTAAGATTAGATATCCAAACACCGTCACGGTCATGATTTCCTTTGTTTAAACTTGATGAATTATTAATGACTTTGAGAATAACTTTTCCCANTAGAAAAGACAGTCTCTCTAACAACAGCTTTATTTATTTCTCCCTTATTTTTTTCATATAAATTAAATTATATAGTAGTATAATAATTAAATTAAAATAAAGGTAACTGACAACCTGAAATAGTCAAAAATGCCAGGTTG